ATAACTCTAGCTAGAGAGTATATCTACCTAAACGGGGGCAGTACGGTAGAGAGGTAATGTTCACCAACAAACGGTGAGAGATGTCGTCCATTTAGAATCAGTACAGTTGAGAAATGGAGAAACTGTGATGACTCTCTTTATGAGAGAATTCAAAATCAGCTCGGAATGTTATGAATTTCTTCCTGAAAACTTTTATCAGCGGCTCTGTTTGTGTCAGCGTTGTTTGTAATTCCTAAGTCCATCTAGAGTTAGAGGAACTGAAGAAAACAATTTAGATCTACCTGGTTACACCTTTTTTGAATAAGGAAGGTTCGTTTTTATCTCAAGAGGGTAATAGTGAAACTATTCAGAAAAGTTAGATTTGCATAACTTTCTAGGTGTGTGTAAATAGGTGTGAGAGAGGAGAGAACTCTATGGGATCCCAGCGACGTACCTGGTCGACGCTCGGCGCACGGCCCGACGTCGCCCCGTAGCTCACATACCGGAGGTTGGTGAGACGCTCCGTGGTCGCGCGGTACGACGCCACGCTGAGCTTCATCCCTCACATCTGGGCCTGCATCGATCGACTCCGGCGCACTAAGTTTCCCAAACTTCCCACCGCCCGCCACCGCCGGCACGGGACCTCGGCCCTTTCTAGACACGGGGCCTCTCCCTGGGACCACGGTAGACACGGGACCTCTCCCTGGGCCATGGTAGACACGGGGCCTCTCCCTTGGGCCATTGTAGACACGGGACCTCTCCTTTGGGCCATTATAGACACGGGACCTCTCCCTCGGGCCATTGTACATACGGGACCTCTCCCTTGGGCCATTGTAGACACGGGACCTCTCCTTTGGGCCATTATAGACACGGGACCTCTCCCTCGGGCCATTGTACACACGGGACCTCTCCCTTGGGCCATTGTAGACACGAGTCCGCTCACTTTGACGTTCCATTGTGTCTACAATGGCCCGAGGGAGAGGTTCTGTGTCTACAATGGCCCGAGGGAGAGGTTCTGTGTCTACAATGGCCCGAGGGAGAGGTTCTGTGTCTACAATGGCCCGAGGGAGAGGTTCTGTGTCTACAATGGCCCGAGGGAGAGGTTCTGTGTCTACAATGGTCCGAGGGATAGGTCCCTTGTCTACAATGAACCGAGGGATAGGTCACGTGTCTACAATGAACCAAGGGAGATGCCCCGTGTCTACAATGAACCAAGGGAGATGCCCCGTGTCTACAATGAACCGAGGGAGATGCCCCGTGGCTACCATGGTCCGAGGGATATGTCCCGTGTCTACCATGATCCGAGGGAGAGGCTCCGTGTCTACAATGGTCCGAGTGAGAGGTCCCGTGTCTACAATGAACCGAGGGAGATGCCCCGTGTCTACAATGACCATAGGATTCAGGAGTGGACAGTCAGAGGTATAGTTAGGTCGCCATGCTGCCTGATTGACCAGCGGTCTCAGGACTTCCCCTTAGTCCTATCTAACCTTCCCAGGTGCCGTCCTAAACCCAAGTAACCATGCTCCTGTGCTTGTGGTCTTATTTGGGCTTCAG